ATATATATACACACACACACACACTACTATCTATAATTTAGTTAAAGAGAATATTTTATAAGTTAAGCGTGGCGTGCTTTTTCTTCGAGACATTTAATATTTTTAACAATTATTTCTCGAGATTGTTACTTCTATAAAAAATGTACGATTTTATCAATTTCATTGCCGTGGCAAATCGTACATGGAACGTATCATGAAATGTAAATACAATAAAAAGTTTGCACCTCGAGAGTATATTTATTACAATGATGTCGCGACGTAATATAATAATAAAACAGTGAACAGGTCATAGAATATTGTACAACCTTCGTACGTACTTTAGTTCTTCTATTATTTCGAGATCCTCGTTTTTATAATCTATTTCACGTAAATGGCTTCATATATATTATATACAAGGATAATTGCTCGTAGGTGTGTGATGGGAAGAAAATGTACCTTAGGAGTTGTACATTTTCCTCTTAAGGAAAGATGCGTGATAAGATGCGGGATAATATAAAAAAAATCTAATGAATGGGTAGGATAGAAGAGAATTTTATTGATATTTTTATATCTTCTCTAATTTTTTGAAACGAGATATTTTGATTATGATAACAGAATGATCATCAACTATTCAAAACAAAAAAAAGCGAATCTGTGTAAATTTGAAACATCTAAACGACTTAAATAATTTGAATTTATATTGGATCAGATATTTCAAATGTAGATCTGTTATTTCTGTGTTTTGCACAATAATCAATATAATCTATTACATCTAATCAAAATATCTTGTTTCTAAAATTTTCGCTATACATCTACCACTAAAGTTATTTCCCTCCCACTTTCTTGTCTGGAAGAATAAAGCCACACACTAAATAATAAAAATGGACAGACTTCCGTATTAGATAAAAAGTCTATTCATGTACATAATATATCTTTAGAGAATAATAAACTTATATAAAGCTACATGTGTGTGTGTGTGTGTGTGTGTGTGTGTGTGTGTGTGTGTGTTTTACATGTGATTAACTGAGGCTTTGATGTCAGCGCCGACTAACTTTCGACCAACCATCATCCTCTAATGGTCGCCTTCTCTCGTCAGATCTAGGCGGAAGTCTGTCATCTTTACGATCCTCTCGTCTGAAATACACAATGAAATTGAAGTTTAAATTAAAATTTTATCGAGCTTAATCTGTTTAAAACTTAATGAATATTTATGAAATTCGCTCAAAATTTGTATAAAATTTGTATAACGATTGTTATGCTTTATTAAATTGTTATATTAAATGTTATTATTAAATTTTCTTTATATATACTAACTCGCGCTTGGGTGGGTCTCTTGGGGAATCTTGAGGTGGGTCGCGTTTCCGCCAGTCCTGATTAGTATTTGGCCGTGCTGGTTCATCACGGCGATCGCGGTAACCACCACGGCGGTCGGACATTCTACCACGATCACGATCTCGATCTCTATCTCGATCATCGCGTATCGTGTCACGTGAAATCTCGCGTATCTGCAATTGCAATTAAAGAAATATTATTAAAAAAATATACGTACCCAAAGAATAAAGGTAAATATAATTTATATAATTAATAAATAAAATATAAGTGAATGAAAAGAGCAACAAGCGAAGAAATTCTACATAGATAATATTTTACAGTATATGTAACATGTATTAGATTAAGATGCAGAATACTTACTCCACGTCCATCTATTCCACGGTCACGGTCACGGTCACGGTCACGATCACGGTCGCGATCATCTCTCTTGTCGAACCCACGGTTATCTAGCCTATCTCGATCTCTTAAATCTTCTCTATCGTAGTTATCATCTTTTCTCCATTTCTCCATAGTATCCTTCTTCCATCGGTCCGAGTCATCGTTTCTTCTCCACTTGTCCATATCGCGACGTGGTTCCCTTTCTGATTCCCTTCTCTTCCATGAAGAATCCTCAATCTTGTCATCGCGTTTCCTCCAGCGATCTGTGTCGTTTTTAAGTCCATCAGAATCCTTGTCAGGATTACGTCGCCATGACTCCATCGCTAATAATAATATAAAATAATACAAATTAAATTTTATCGATATTTGTATATGCGAAAATATCTAGTGAAAAAACATGAAAATCTATTATACTCACAAGGTTTTGGACCATCGCGATCACGTTCGCGATCACGGTCACGATCACGGTCACGGTCACGATCACGGTCACGTTCACGATCGCGATCACGATCACGATCGCGATCACGATCATTATCCAAACCACGCCGCCATGTTGAAGCCATTTCTTTATCTCTCAATCGTTCTTCCTCCAATTTACGTTCAATTTCAGCTTCCTTAGCTCTAATAATCTCAGCTTGTTTTTTAAGCTTAGCCATACGTTCGGCTTCTCTGGCTTCCTCTTCGGCCCGTCTAATTCTCTCCTCCTCCTCTCTCTTAGCTCTTTCCTCTTCAAGACGTTTCTTTTCCTCTTCTTGTTTGATACGCAATTCTTCCAATCGTCTTCGTTCTGCAGCTTCTGCGCGTTCCTTCTCCCATTTTGCTTTACGCTCGGCTTTACGTTCCATTTTGCGCTTCAATAATCGCTTAACGCGCTCCTCATTCAATAATTTCTCAAATTCCTTCAGTTTTTCTGTGTATATGTTTCTACGCTCAGCTAAGATCTTAGCTAAGAAAATGCCGTGATCCTCTTTCATACGCGCTAAGCGCTCTTGAGTCGCGACAGCCTCCTGTCTCTCTTCGATAGCTGCGGCAATTCGCTCATCCTCCTGCTGCCGCCAGAGTTGTTTCGCCTGTTGCATCCTGTCCTGCACGGCCTTCTCCAGCAATGGAATCTCCTCGAGTCGTTTAGCACGCTCCAAATAATCGACTTTCTTCTCCTGGGACTTGAGCTTCTGTTGCATCTCTCTGCGCTCTTTCTGTAACTCTTCAGCTTCCCGCGCCGCAATTTGTTCCGCGTCCAGTTTTTTAATTTCATCCTCATCTAGTTTCTTCAGCACCTTTTGCCCGTGACTTGTCTGTGAAATCTGCTGCATCTTTTCTTTGAGATGGCGATCCTTGATCTGCTGAATCTCGCTTTGTTGACGCTTTCTTTCACGTTCCTCCCGTTCCTGTTCCAGTCGCTTCTGTTCAGCCAACATTTGTTGTCGCTGAAGTTCCTCCTGTCGGCGCATCTCTTCTTCTTCGCGGACCGTATTGATGTGCTCAATGTATTCCTTTCGTTCCTCGATAATTTTGTGCCTGCCTAATATTTTCTGATGATCCTTGATTTTAGTTTCATGATAATGAGCAACCAACACATTGCGTACTTTTTCGCGCTCGAATTTCTTTTTATTAGGATTTATTACATTAATGGCACGATGCAACACGGTCGCCATGTTTACCAGTTGGCAGCGTATTTGTTCGGAGGGCATTGCTTGCAATACCGGACCGTCCGGATGATCTTCTCGTTGCGCCTCCGAGAGATCCACTCCAAAGTGAACACATGATTTGCCGTGATCTATTCTGATCTGCATGTCATTATAGCGCACGCAATCTACCAAAAGACGTTCAAGGTGAAAATCGATGGTGAATTTGGCAAGTTCCAGGAGTCTGGAAAATTGTATAGTTTGATAAACTTGAGAAATCTGATGAACAAGACGCACAAGTGTAACATCCTGCAAGGCTGGGATATATTGGATTAACGGACTGTTTTCGTCTACCTGTAACGTTTGAATGACGGAATCGACTCTGCTACAGAGTTCTAACGGATGAAATTCCACTTCTAACCACGAATATAATTCTTGCAACTGTGGTGACGCAAGAACGACAACATTCAAACGAACAATGTCCTTCAACAGAGAGACGCGAGTTGGTGGTTGCGAGAGACCTAAAAGAGTCGCGAGCTTTTGAGCTTTTTCTAGCGGACTCTTGTCAGTCTCTATGAATCGATCAAATTCAGGATGCGCGGATGGCAACGGTATCGACAATGTTGCCAATAATACCCGATTGGCCATTCGCTGCTGTTCCTCTGAGGACATATTCTTTTTCATTTCTCGAGAGAGTTGTAAAAGTTTGAACAATGCAGCTGCGTGAAACAGATAATTGCCAGCCTTCCAGAAAACCATAGCCAATTTCTGATAATAATTGGCCATTGTTTTTGGTACAGGGAGCTTCTTCGACAAATTCATCATACCATGAACGTCCTCCGAAGATTTAAAGGCTTCCTGCCACAATTCCATTTGTATCGCAGAATCTAATTGATTTAATCTAGTTTCTAGATTTAGCTGTTGCGTTTCCGCCTTATTCATAGAAACATTCGACACGAGCGGAGGCAATTTACATATCTCTTCAAGATGCTTCCGCAATTTCTCGCATAATTTACGAAATTCAGTCTTACGATTATACTCGAGGCAAAACTGGAAGGCCATACGTGCGATATCATGATAAAGAGTTTCTACATGCGCATTAGTTCTGAGCAACTCCAAGCATTGGCAGTATGATTCCCACAAGAATTTCACCCAGGGTGTTAAAATAGTACGATCGCTCCTGTCTTGCGCATCTTCACCGCTTACAGCTGATAGTAAGATGCTCTCAGGTGTGGCAAGATTATCAAGATCATCAATATCAATTACTGCTTGTTGACTCTGTTTGCGTGCTGCATTAGTCTTCTCTTCAGCCATTTTCAAATAACCACGTATAACATTCTCCAAACTCCCAACATTGACAGATTGAAACATATTTCTGTATTGAAACAAGCCTTCTTTCGCTATGTGTGACTTCTTTAATTCCACACAGAGGTCCAGATACTTGAACATTATAGGTTCCAAGACGGACTCTGACCAGTTGTACGTCCATTTTTTATTACGGAAGACTTCTTGTAATGTATCTAATGCTCGAGCTGGTTTACCCACTTCTATGAACTCTGTTCAAAAAGAAGAAGAAAATTATCAGAAAATTATTCAGAAACTAATTTAGAAACTAAATTAATTTTTTAAATAATATATAAATTTTTATATAATTATAAAAATTATTGTTAATGTATGTTGAAAGATATAGAATGTTGACAACAAATCTCTACTTGGTAATTCTTAACGAGATAATGCTGGTATCATAATTGCATAGGTTTTATATGAAAAAAAAATTAGATAACGATATCAAAAATTATTAAGAATTTTGAATAGCGACTAAGCTCATTCTATAATTGCGTAAGCGCAGTTGTAAGAATTGACTAATCAAATATAAAAATATTTTATTGTGATTGAGAATCAAGGCAAAATCGAGAATCTCTTTATTCTGCAACTTATTAACGCGCTTGAAAAATTTGTTATACGGAAAGTACTTTCTAAATTCTTTTGAATAGAATCTCACTCTAAAAAATAAAAAAAAAAAAAAATGAAAAAATTGAGCCAATCTTGAAAAAATGATATAATTTTCCATCTGTAAAAGTAAGATTTCAGTCTTCAAAATGAGATTTTATTGTCACTTTAAAAGTTTTAGAAAATAATATCAGCTTAAAATTAATTTTAATCTATCAAAACTGTATGTATATTGTATTACATATTCTGGACTTAAAGTGAAATATATATATATCCAGGTATTGCAAAAAAACCATAAAAACAGAGAAACCATAAAAATTAATTTATAACTGTTTGTTTTGTTTATAACATGTAATAAACAAGGTTTAATGACAGGAAAAAATACGAGACATTGGAAGTTTGTCCGCATCACATGCTCCACCATGCTGGTAACATAGTTCTTACTCCTACACACTCATTAGAGTAATATGAACAAAATTTAGGCCTGCTTTTTATTCCTCGACTAAACCCTGCACTTTCTTTTTTGCTTTTGTTAAATATCGAACATACAACTATTTCATTTTAAGTTCAAAAAGTTTATACTTATAGTTCAACTGATATAGTTTAGAAACTAAATTAATTTTTTTATTTACTTTCTAAATTAGAAAACAGAAAACAAAATTAATCCGCAACATGTCTAATACTAAAGGATATAAAATTTACAAGATAAAATACAGTAGTAAGCTCGGCCAGATCTTTTTCCAGACTTCAGAATTTTTACACGCATCTCATGTGCTAAATAAACGCAAAAATCATTATATGTGTAATCGGAAGAGTGTCGCATGCGTTTTGGAATAAATAGCATAATCGTGACATTTCGTAATCCCGATGATTACGAGATCCGTCCGATGTGAACGCATATGGTCGTGAGAGAGAGGTCAGACAGCTCCACCGGGAGACGGACAGCCTTGAAGACACGCCGATTTTCCAAGACACTGTGCAACGCGGTAGGGTCAATCGAAGAGCTACGAAATCATCTCTCGAGCGGGAGCAACGGAGGATGCAATCTCGTGTTTTCCGTGTAAATACCTCGAGAGGGTACGAGCTTTCTATCTTTCCCCACGCGGGCCAATAGAACTTGATGCCATCGGCCATGTCACACTCGTGTAGGACGTCAGGCGGAACCCCACGACTTACCGTTCGCCCGTTTCAGGGCGTTCTCGGGCCTCTGTCCGTAACGCGCCATGTTTCCTTCTGGCGACTGCGATTACAGCAACACCATAAACACCGGCGAGATCTCCGCGACGTCGTAAAGACGTCTCGAAATTCCGTTTGCGCGCGATTACGCGTGTCCAACGTATTACTCGACCGCGTGTACCGGATAGAAGAGGCGGCCACCGAGAAAAGATGGCTTCTCGTAATGCGCAAGTCAATAAGCGATCTGACGTCCGGGAAAAAGTCGCGCGCGAATAGCGACTGCTTCTACCGCGGAATAATCGCGCGAATCACGTCCGTCTGTATTTAAATTCACGCTTTATCCTCGGCATGCCAACGGTTCAACAGTGTCTACGATTTTCGCGATTACTGCGACGAGACGTTTAGTTATGGACTATTGACTCACGTAGTAATCGAACGACCGGAACGACCCCTTGCGATTGCAAAAAGTCGGCGGCTGATTGGCTGCGCATCGCGTCTTCGAGATCTCGATAGTTACGCTTCCATTCGAATTACCGCCATTGACGGTTGCAGTCTCGCAGATCGTGTCGCTCCGAATCATTCGAGTATATTTATGTATATATTTCTCAGAAAACGTATCTCATTTTCGCGATCGTGATCATCTGAGAACAAATACCGTGCGGAGCGTAGAATGTTTGTCATAATACGTTCACACATTGTGTTCGATCGTATAATATCGTATGACATCATCGCCGGTGAAAGATCTTGAAAGACGAGATCTGTTCTTTTTAGCTGAACTTCTTGTACTTTATCTTTCGTCCTTTTCTCTCTACGTTAGAGAGCAAAAGAGAAAAGTGAACCGTGTAAGAACTTTAATTTTAAAAAGAACAAACCTGATCATCCTTTCCCTGCTGACGATCACGTTCCCTGCTACGACACGATACTACTTTATATTAATTGGTATTCCGTGTGTGATTAGATTCGATGGAATCATCCTCGATGGAGAACAACAGAGGCGACATCATCAGGTATGTACAATTTGCATTATGGTTAATTGTTGACTCTTTTTTGGTTGCATCGCAATATCGTTTCAATGGATCACGAATAGTGAATCGATTGGTACGCATATATGTATAATGACGAACCGGCGTCATCGCGTTTGAATAATTCTTAGAAAAGGATAAATAAATTAAGTTAAGACAAAAGTTAATCTATATTGGTAGAAATATTATTTAATTTGACAGCTTCAGGAAAAAAATTAAATCAGATGCATTTAGAATATTAAATTTAACACGTTACGATCAAACAACTAATATCTATTTTTTATCAATGATTATCTCAATTTAGCTTATTTTTTATTTTCTAGTATATAATATCTAATCTAATAATAATATCTAATCTAATATAATAAACACAGATAAAGAGTAAATTAAACTGAGATTAAAATGAATCTATTAATAGAAATAATATTATTCCAAAATATAATTATAAAATGATAAGTATTTTTGAGAAGATAGAATATTTATAGTCATTAATACATATTGGAGAAGGTGATATTTTTTATGTGATTATAAATTATACAGAAAACAGGCTTTTTGTACAAATAAGAGTGTTGTATATTTTATTGTATAATTTTACTTATATAAATATTTCTTATAAATATATTTAACAATATCGAAAGTTCAAGGAACAAAAGCAATGAACATAAAATGTTGGTAGAACATAACAAATAATGAATGCTTAACATGAGATAAGAAATAGATACATTTTATCTCTTATTCTCGCGTTCAACATGTTTAAAGACTTTGACTTATAAAATTATAACACAAAAAGATTTTCGGCAATGGCCAAATTAATAAGAAAACTTTCTACAGCCGGCGCCAAGTTTTTCTCTTTAAATATCTCGACGGATATCATTCTTTTGCCATCTGGAGTTTGCACTGTCGCTAATGAAGTTAATTGATTTAGAAGATCTTGCGTTTTGTCACTTATCTCGGATATAACTTGTGCTTCTGTGTAGTTTTGATTTTCACATAGTTGAACCATGAACAAGGCTATTTCCTTGTGGGTTTTTGTCATTGTAAGACTTTCTGGAAAAAAAAAATGAATAAAGATATAGATTAAAAAACATATATTTTTTTCGTATCCATGAGACATTTCCATTGTAATCTTATGATGCATCATAAGATTGCAAGAAATATGGATATGAAAATAAATGAAATAGACTATTTTCTTTTTCTTCTTACCTTTGGCATGCGGTGCTACAGTAATTTCTCTAGCAGGAATATTTACAAGCAGATCATACAGATCTATCCTTGACGATATTGAACTATTACTGCAGCCTGCCACATAGTATGAATATTTCTATAACAATAATAATTATTATATATAGCAATGAAATTAAGAATGACATATAATAATAATAATAATAATAATAATAATAATAATAATAATAATAATAATATCAATAACATAGTAATAATATCAATAATAATAATGTTTTGCTCCTGCAGTCTATTCTGAGTAAAAAAATTACATCTTATTTATCACCATTTTATCATCATTTTCTTGCTATTAAAAATATATTAAAAGTATTTTTTAATGGAATACATGCCTTCAATTCAGTTAACTCATCGTTCACCAAATCAATCCAAGGAAAAAGGTTGTCAGTAACTTTCCTGTGTTTCATTAACGCAGGAAATGTTCTTATCCACTTAAGAAGTTGCTCCAGGCTGTGATGATATACAACAATCTTCTTTTTTAATAAGAGAGCGGTATATATCAAAATTGTTTCTAATTCAAATGTTTTAATCAGCTCTTTGACATTGGTGCTAGCTGCAAAACGATGAGTATTAAAATCATCAGAGACAAATGTTCCATTCTCTTGCGTTGAACATGATCCCTTTGTGAATACAGATAAGTATAACTGTAAAATCTCTGTAGGTTTTCCAGTTTTGCAATACATCTTGCTAAGAACCCTTGAGAGCACTTCATACTTTTGTGGATTAAAGTCCTTTGCAAAAAGAACCAATGCAAATTGTTTTACCTGAGACAATTATGAGAGTTAATATTTAGATTATTTATACAGAATCTATAAGACAATATCTGATCTTTAATAAGAAAAGTTTAAGATATTTACCTTCGGTAGTTTGTCAGAGTCGAATACCTCGCTGCAATGTATATAGAACCAATCGTGTCCATGTCTCGCACATACAAATACATGAGGAGATGTATGCTCCAATTTCAAATTGCATTTTCTTGTGACTACAGTCTTCTGAGATTCTGTAACAGCTGGATATGACCATGTCCACAAGACATCTCCATTACAATCTTTCTCTGCAATTTTTTATTCTTGATTATGTACAATATCTAATATATAATATCTAATATATAATGTTTTAACTTTTTATAAAATTGCTATACCTATTACGCTGCAAGAAAGTAAATCCGTTAATGGTGCCATTTGGAGCTTTCGAGCCTTTCAAAAATAAATAATTAATAAAAAAACTAAAGAATAAATAATTATCAATAATAATGATACATTAAGGTATTTGTTATTCTTCACACACTTTTGTTATATGTAAAAATTTACTCTTGGTATTCTACAATTCTATTACTAAATACTACTAAATGCTATTAATCCATTAGAGCAAATTATTAGTGTATAATATGTCGAATGCTGTCAAACCACGATAGAAATTGAGGTTATGTTTAAATTGCTTCCCTCTCTCTCACTCGCTCTTATTTTTTTCTCACTCACTCACTCATTCTCTCTCTCTCTCTCTCTCTCTCTCTCTCTCTCTCTCTCTTCCACTTATGTATTTGACAATCTTGATTTGTAAAAAATAAATATTAATAAATAATTTTATCGAGGATATCTATTAAATTTTAACATCTAATATATTATAACTTTAATATATTATAACAATATATGTATAACTGCGATATATTACCAGATAAAAAATTGTTCATACATGAATATTCCAAATGACAAATATAAATCGATAAATAATATAAACATAATTATTATAATTAAATCTTTTATCTTTAAAATCTTTTATCTTTAAAAATAGATTTTCATATTATAAAGTAATTTTAAAAATTTGCTAATCTATAAAATAAAAGAAGGAACAATAATGAAAAGACATTAATCATTACGTTTGACAAATAGGTGTAGATAATCGTTTAGTTTGTTACCCACCCAGCAAACGAGAATGGATTGGAATTTTTTTCTATCTGAATGCGTATTTTAAATAGCGAATACTTTTTTTACATTTAATTGGATTCAATTGGATTCAATTAGATTCAATTGAATGCAATTGGATTGAAAAACTGCATTTCCTATTCAAAATTTTGAATTAAACAGTATTCACAATTATTTATGTGCACAGAAAAAGTAATATTATTTTTAGATTGAAAGGCATAGAGATATGCTCCATGCAATTCCTATAAATAAATAAAAATGCATTTAGGGTTGTAAAGCATTCATTTTAACATTCGTGAATCAATATTTCTGAAAATCTGAATCCATTTCAATTCATTTCAATCTATTCTCGTTTGCTGGGCAGCGCGATTATATCTAGCAAACGCTAAATATTCTTGAAATATTCATAAAATCACATTATTAATGATTTTTATGATGAAAATAAACATTCGTAACATAATATAGATATTGTAAACAATACAAGAATATAAGTAATAACTTTGATAGATTAAGTTATACAACATGTAAAATAAACTTTGAGATACGTTTTTTAATAGCATAAATATATTTTTCGACAAACAATCCCATGAATTCATCTACTGAAATAATTAGGTATTATATTATCCAATTACATTTAGGATCATTTTTAGAAGTAAAAGTAATATATAAGTATGAAACGTTTAAATAAATATTTGTTTTATTTTATTTATATTTACATAGTATTACAAGTAGTCTAAGTTCCCAGTAATCATAAAAATTCAATCCATTAAAATGAATTGAAAAACTATATTCTCTATTTAGAATTTTGAATTGAGCAATAAATTAATATAATACAATACTAAGGAAATAAATAAACATTTAAGTTTATTTATTAATTATTTGTTAATATAGATATCCTGTTACAACGGAATTATGCAACAAACATTTGTTTATAGTGCTAACTTATGTATTAGAGAAAATGATTACTGGTATTTTACTCTTACAAAAGTAGTGACATATTGCCCCAAAACGCCATTTCATTTTACATTTGTTCGTCGCATTAAGATATAATTCGTAATTAAAACAGTTGTTAATAAACATTTCTCAATAAACTCTACAAACATTTCGATTCTGGATTTGAATTCTCGTAAGTACGGAATACACTTATACGCAAAAAACCGTAACACTAATTTTTTGCACAAATTTTTAATATTTTCAAATAGCAATAATTTAGTGAAAAATCATTGTAGTGAAATGTTTAAAAAAATTTTTTAAAGCTTGAAATCTCTCTACTTTCCAGGTATTTGAAAAAACGGTCGTATTGATATTATGTGAAGTTTACATTACACAAACATAAATGAAGATGCATAAATTCTCAAAATTTTTTGCAAAATTTGTGCTCAATTTCTTTTGAAAATAACTGTTTTTAAAGTAGATTTGGAAAATAGAGATTTCAAGCTTTAAAAGGCTTTTTTAAACATTTCTTTACGATGATTTTTTACTGAGTTATTGCTATTTGAAGATATTAAAAATTTGTGCAAAAAATTTAGTATTCCGGTTTTTTTGCGTGTGAGTATATCTATTATCATATTATACGTATCTATCATTTTATGCATATATTATGTACGCCTTAACAGCTCTTAAAGACAATTTATTTGTATTTGATTTGTAAAATATTACGTTTATTAAAAAAATATGCATTAATTTAATGTTATATTACTTATATTTTTATTTAACAATCGTTAAAGTGTTATTTTTATTACAAATTTATTGTACTTTATTTATGTGAAGTAAAATAAATAATTATTATATTCCTATTTTACATTACTATGACAAAGAATAAGTCTGCAACCTAAATAATTTAATGATATTATATTAAGAAATAACTTACAATTTATCATAAAATCGCTCCTTTTTTATAATACTTTATACTTAAAATACTTTTCGGGTAATACTTTTTATTTAAAAAGATAATCGCGATAAAATAATAATAATAGCGTACTACTAACATTTTAAAAACAGATTATAATAAACAAAATAAATTTATAGCTTAGTAAAAATATTTATTGTAATATTTGCAATGAACTTTTATTACATTTTATTAAAATTTTTAATTAATTAATTTTATTAATATTTTTAATTAATATTTTTATTGAAATTTATGCGTCTGTATTGGTGAAATATTACAATATAACATGCAATTATTAAGAAAATTATTTAGAAAATTTTTTATAATTAAAATTTTCGAAAATTATATCGCATTTTTATATACAAATATTAATAAAATAGATTTCTTACACTAAAGTAAATAATCTTAAAAATTTTCTGATTTATGGAAAGCAATGAGGAACAATAATGAAAAAACAATAGTTATATTTGACAAATAGTCTATATAAATAATCGGTCAGTTGCTGTTTCGTGAAATTATTTTGATACGTTTATCATTGATATTTATAGCAAACAACAATGCGATATGACAATGTTTTGAAATTAATGGATTACTAATGGTTAGATGCATCGATAAAGATAGCAGTTCATGTTTACACTATTTAGGATCCGTTGTTCCCTCTTCAGATAAACTACGAGATAATTTACCTACTGAATAAACAAAATAGTAAAAGAATAAGAGCATAAGAAAGTAAAAGAGTGCACAAGAGAGTAAGACAGTGAGCTGAAGTTTGTTCGAAAGATGGAACAACCATTTACTTTTAATAAGTAATACTATCTTCTTACACTATTTAATATTTATTAAAATGATTTTAGTTGATCATCTTCAATGCACAAATTACTACTTGACTGTCAGGAGCTTTACCGAAAGGTTTATATCCTTCGGGAGTTTCGTATTTATTCACTTGATATATCTGCATTGTTTCATAACCGAGTACGTCCGTACCAAGTTGCTAAAGTTTACATAAAAAAATAAAAGTCATGAATTTCGCAAAATTATGTATTATAACAAATACTTTCTTTGTTATTATTGATATTATCAGCTAAGTTATCAAAGAATTATGTTCATCGTTTACCTGTGTGAGCGGACTAGTATTTGTGGTAAAAATTCCCATGTACTCTTTTTGTTTGGCGAGTTGCAAACAATATTCTTCCATGTGTTTCATTACAAGCACGTTCTCCGCGGGACTCAAATCAATGTTTGTCCCCATCATGGAAATGTGAATTATCTGACCTTTATTCTTTGGTAATTTGCAATCTCTGATCGGTCCTTCCACATACTCGAGAAAATCAAAAATGATCATTAATTTAGATTTTAGTACCACTGCAGGTTCATCCCAAAGATCAAAGTTGAGAGCAACTCCGATTATTTTGCTACTCTGCGCCGACTTTATCACAAAACTAAGGTCTTTTTCTACATAAAACTCCCACATAATTTCCATTAATTCCCGATAGTCACCCTTTGTTATGTCTGGTATTAACCACTGTTCCAAATCGGCTTTTGAATAAAAGCTCTCTGTGATTATTCTGCAAATTTAAATAAATGTCCTCTAATTGATTCAAGCACATATGATTGTTACGAACTTAAAATTGAATTTTGCACAACTTACTCGATCGCGTCCTCCTTATGGCAATCACTTAATGATTCAAAGACATATGGCTTTTGATCAATGATTTCTTTCAGAGGTTCTTCATCAGATGACATGAGCTTCATTCGGTTTAATACATCAGCTAAATTTTTCGCGGTAATAAAATCCGTAATACTGATTTGATAACCTTGATCTCTTAACTTGGTCACGGTATAAATGGAATTCAAGGAATTTCCACCAAGCTCGTAAAAATTCGAGTGTAACGTTACCAACACTCGACCACTACGTCCGATTACAGATGCGATAGTCGGAAAGAGGATGTAGGCTTTTGCAAGATCTTGATTTGGAACGCCGCTATAATCGCAATTCGTAGAAAAGTCGTCTTCTAAAATAAAATATTTGAGCTCAACCAGTAAAACATAAATCTTTTGAGTTAAAAAATGAATTATTCTTTCTTTATTTGTAATTCAAAGAAATTATGTAATAACTAATTTATTTTGTATATTTGAATTATTTATGAAAAAGTAGAGAGATTTATAGATTAAAAATTGTTATTAAAATATCTTCTTATTCTTCTGTTTAACCAAACATAATTGTTGCAAATCTAATATGCAAAATTAGTTACTCAGTAAGAAATAAAACATGAAAAAATGAAACAAAATAAATTATTTTTTATTTTTTTTTACATTTTGTTACTTAATTAACTTATTTTATAGAAAAGATTAGAAAGGTTATTCTAATCTCAAATATATGTAACGATTCATGTTAAAATTGAAAGAAAGACAATAAATATTCATAAACTGGTTTGCTTGATAGAACCATGATACGTTTCACATTGTAACTTAAAAATACGTACTTTTAAAAGATAAACAGTTATTTGTGATTAAAATGTAACTATAATGAAATAATTAATATTTCATTTTACTTAATAGCTTAAAGAAATATCACGATGTATATGATATTTTACTTAACAAAACGATATAAAGTAATTAGTTCAACATACCATTATTAGAGTAAGATGATTCATATTTCTGTAATAATGTCTGTCGATCCGTTTTTCCATTGGTTAGAAGAGGTATGTGATCAACAATAAAAATTTGTGGTAACATATATGGCGCAAGCGTCCTTTGAAGAAAATCTTCGATTTCCAAACTGGATAAATTTGTCCCATCCATAATGGTAACGAAGGCTACTAATGCCTAAACATTTAAATTATAAAATTTATCCGTGCAAATTAATTTAACATTTTTAATAATATTTAATGTTAATATTTTTTGTATTTTTAGTGATTTAAAGACGGTATTTATAGAATATGTAGATAAGTTAATTGCCAACAAAGAAATATGTTTAAAAGTCATGAAACTGTATAATGAAATAGTTTATTAAAATAAATTGAATATTCAATTTATGAATTTATTTATCAATATTCAATTGATAAATTATATCGGTTTTTTTATAATGCAAGATTACGTGCTATCAAAATTATTGAAGATTGATTTTTTTATCTAAAGCGATTAAAAAGATAGACGCATTATTTAAATATTCTCTAAGATGTTTAGATGTTTAGGAAAAATTAAATTTAAAAGAATTATTATTTACGAATTTTTTATCACAAATACATTTCCTTTTGTGCACGTATATTGTATATTGAAATATTTACCTGTGATAGTTCACCAGGTTTGTGACAAAGAACCACGACTTTATCGATATTAGATATTCTGGTGATCACTTTTTCGACTTCCGTGAGATCGACACGGTGACCTCTAATCTTGATCTGCGAATCTATTCGTCCTTCATAAATTATCGACTCTTTAACAATTTTAGCGTAATCGCCCGTACGAAAGATTTTTGAATATTCTACAAACAAATCAGCATATTTTTATGTTACTTGTATGCATATCGAAATTGTAATTCTAAACTAACTAAAAGATTATATTTTTGTCCATGAGAGAAATCGACATTATGAAAGGGACAATTTACAGTAAATTCTTCAAGTTCGAAAGACGCGACATTCGATTTCCTTTTTGCGTTATTTTATTTTCTCACCTGGATCGATGGCGTAAGGGTTGTCCAAAAATTTATGTGTATCTCGTTCGCGTATATAACCCGCAGCAAGATTTCTTCCAGCTACTATCAATTCTCCAACTTCTCCCTGGGGAACCAGTCGCATATCTTTGTTTACGAGATAAATTATGCAGTTGTCAATCGGTTTTCCTATAACAAAAGACATAGCAAGATGTGTAAATGTTGTTCATTATTATTTAGTAATGTATTTATTAATAATAATAATTCATTGAAAAGCGTATTTTTATAATTATTATTAGCTTAGAAACTAATTAAATACTTTGTTGTATTTTAGCAATTTTATTATTTTATTTTTTACAATACTGTTTTATTATTTTATTAAGCTTTGTTATTATATTAGGCGAGAGATGTATTCTTAGTTAGTAAATCATGATATATTTGCGATTAAGAATTATTCATACCGATTGGCACTTTCTTCATTCCTTGTAATTGTGCCCGTTTATTTAATAAATAATATGTAACGTCGCCCATGATTTCTGTGCTACCGTAGAAATTAGCTAATATCTTATCCTTATTGTCAAACGTGGCAAAAAATTGATCGGCCAATGCGACCGATAAGGTTTCCCCGGAACAGATCCAGAGTTTCAAGCGACCGAGAACATTGTTATTATCCTATACAAAGTAATGACAAATATTAAAGTATTACGAGGAAATTCTTATTGTATAACAGTGTCTCAGATGTCTTGAGTTGCAATAATAACATATAGAAATTATGTTCATGGTGCATTTTAATATAAGATTCCATGAAAAAAGATAACGTCGTAAAAATTTTAATTATTTTCACTTAGGATAATTAGCATGATTTATTCTCTTTATTAATAAATAGCTCGATAACATAATGATAATTAAATATTTAATCAAATGCTTGTTATCTGCGTTGCGTAATTTTCGAGCATAATTACATTGATTTATATAATAGAAGAATTTCTCAGTTGCGAGATCTACACGTTGATCTGGGAGTTACCGAATCGTAAATGCATTGGTTTTTATCTAAGCGTATTACTTTTCATATATTCTGTGGTTTGCTTAAATGCAATAAATAAATTTGTTGACCATTTTCGAACTAGTATTGAAATGTGTAATACATGTGTAATACAGCTTTTTATACTCACTCGCAAATCTAAATACATGAGCAATGAACGCAGCAACGATGGCACAAGGACTAAACGTTGTATCTAAAACATAAATTTCTCTTTGTCACAAATTAAGTTATATTATTAATTTACATAAATCACATAAAAAATTATAAAAAATATAAAAAATTGCAAAAGAATTTATACATTTTAAATTATTTTTATAGAGAAATTTTATAGAGTTCGAAGATCTATTCATTCAATTTACCTTCAAACTGTTGATGTAAAATTTCTGTTAATTGCATTATATAAAATTATAATTTAAAAAATAAATTTGTATTATAATTATACACGATAAGTTAGTGAATTTTTACCTGATGCTTTTCTAAAAGTGGTATGAACTTTTCCGGATCTTTAGTTACATTTTTCGGCACAATTACTAAGGTACGGCTTTGCAGAAGAGGTCCCCAAATTTCGGGAACACTGTCGACGAAAGTAAGAGAAGTTTTGAAAACACATCGTTCTTCATCGTCAGCATATGGAAATTCCCTCCATTGCCATTGTAGACGATTCAATAGAGTAGTATGAGGTATAAGCACACCTTTAAGAAGATAAATATGTATATTACAAATGACTCTCGCTCTTTTTCAAACTATAAATTATATAATAGGTAATCGTTTTCAATTTTTTTTTTATATTTTTTCTTTGTGTGATTGATGTAGTAATTAAAGCTAATATCCTTTTATAATAGATGAGCTGTTTTTATTCGTCATACATAACATTGAAAATATGAGATCGCGACATTTTAAAAACATTTTACGGATAGCATTCATCATGAACGGCAACTCCAGTATGATTGGAGTACTTTGTACGCTGAATGATTTAATGTATGGAATTTCATATATTGAATTTCATATCTGTATGATATTTCGGGGAGAAATTTAGAAATTACAAACATTGCCACTGCATTGCTTGAAGGATTTAGTGTAATTTTTATATGACAATCCCAAGATTTTATATCAGAATACGTAAAATTTATTCGCGTTCTTTTAACGATTCCTATATCAACTTGTTCGAATGAAAGATCATTTTCTTATTTAAGATATTTAAAAAGTTATCTTCGATCGACTGAAATCGAATGAAATAAAAACATTTAAATACATATTGCGATATTGTACATTTAGAATACATTTGAGAAATGATCGGTAAGTTAAATATGAAGGAGCTCATTAATAATTTTATTTAAAAAAATAAAATTAGAGCGATTACTTTTGCCATGTAGAAAAGATATATGTGAGAATGAAATATATTTATTCTCCTCCTTTCTCTTCTCTCTCTCAATCTATCCTCGGGAACTCCATACACTGAAAAATTTTACTTCGCCGCCTGGCGTTAATTAAGATGAATAAAAACGATTATTACGCGTTAAATAATATATTTTAGCATTGTTATCTATTGTATAATTTGCACAAAATTGCAATATTACCTTTGGGAACTCCTGTGCTTCCAGAAGTATAGAGAACGATAGCAAGTTGATTCGAATCCTCCTTGGTTTGTAATGTATTTTCTTGTTCTTGTTTAGTATCTTTTAGAAGTTTTTCATACGTTACGATTAAAGCTCCTTCATAGATAGATAAATCCGCTAAAAGTGGAATCGTATTTTTACTTAATTGTTCTCACATTGAAGAAATAAGTACAAGAAATATCAAATCTATTATCTTCAATTATATCCAATCAAAATGAAACGTAAAAACTCAAGGTTTTTTTGCGTATATTTATAGCTAAAGGAATAATAAAATCTTCCGCATTCTGTAAATTATTTTTAAATTATTCATTATTCACTTTCAAAGTAATATCAAAGTAATCTGCTTGTTAGAAATAGATATGATAGATCTATATAGACATACGACCTTGTGCTAAGAACAACGTTATAATTGAGAATTATTATGTAGATATCTCACGCTTATTTTTAATTACGTATGTTTAATTCAACGAAGAATGTAAAAGTTTGGTAGAATTGACTTTGATGTTATGAAATTTGTATGAAATTTTGTACAAATTGAAATCAATTATGTGAAATTGTTATATAAATATTAAATAAAATGAAAATGTAACACACTTAATATACTTGATTAGATACTTTTAAAATTACATTAAAGTTTTATTAAAGAAATAAAAGAAAGAATTGAGATTTCAAATTCAGCTATTTAAAGATACTTTAGATTCATAGCAACTTAAAAAGAAAAAGCAGTAAATTATTTTTTTGTTTATATTATATTACAGATAATACTATGATTCACGATGAATCACTTATATAGAATTAATTATTTTTGAGATTTCTAATAACTTGGGATTAAAAATATGATATTGCTGAAATTTGATTTTAATGAAGATTACTTATAAAACATTAGTCTGCTTCACTTAAATGATTCTTCTCTTTTAGGTAAATTCAGTAATAAAATTACATAAAAAATAAATTATGAAATAAAAATAAAAAGTAGACTAATAATTGAAAAATAGTATTAAAAAAATTATATAAAATTTATATCTAATTTAGGCACTGAATAATAATATTAAACTTTTTATATTTGTTTTGAAATATTTGCATTCTGTAGAAACAAAAATTTACCTCCTTCCTCAACCAGTATTATTAATGGTTGCGCTTCCTCGAGAATGTGTTTCACTCTAGACATGGGAAATTCCACGTCCAAAGGTAGATAAGCCATTCCTGCCTTTAGAATACTAAGTAATATAGTTGGAAGTCGATGCGACGGTTTCATGCAGACAGCTATTAGAGACTGAGAAGTAGTTTCGAATTTTTCGTACTTTTGTAAAGCTCGTGCCAACTGATTAGTGATGTTATCCAATTCTTTAAAAGATAGTTTATATTCCTGTCCGGTGTCATCTGTATCGAGTGTCCAACAATGTTTAGATATATATAGATTTTCTTTCGCATACAATGCGCAAAATTTCGCATTATAAACATTATTTAATACAACTGATTAGTTAAACTTCTATTATAATCATACTTTAGACCACTTCTTTGATGTATTTTTTATTATATTTTATATCGAGAAAAGTCTTACCTTCATAATATATCGCAATTTGATTTGGATGGGATTTTGCTGCATGACTGAACAATTCGTGCACTAAATCTTTCTTCTGATTCCTTCCTGTGTGTTGACCTTGTAAGATTGACTGCTGCTGCAGAGTACCCATTTTTAGGCGTTCGAAGAAATTGTAATTTTTTGCTTGTATCAGCAAAGATCTAAAATTTAATTTACAATGAAAATTTTAATAGTTAATTATTTATTAATAATTTATAAACATAAAATGAAATTTACGAATTAAAATATAACAGCAAAACAATATTAAAAAAAAAAAAATTAGTTATAAAGCATTTGCATTTGTCATTCCAAATAATAGTTTTTGATAAAGGTTTAAAATTGTACAATTATAGATTATTGTTAAACGGTTATCTATCCTTGGGTCACACTTCGACAGACAAGTATTACTCATTTTACGCACTTATTATTAGATATTTAACTGTACATTATGTGCGTAATGTCCACGTAATTGATTAATATTTATAGCGAATTAATCGATATTGTTTTAATAAATAAACGTACGAATTAGATTAAATTTATAATTCACCAGAATTATATCTCTACTATGTTACTAATTTGTGTATCACAATATTAATATGAATAAAATATGATTAGTTGTAATCAGGTGATATACATACGTGTCATTATTTTGTTAAAATAATTATCATCTTTTTAATTTTATATATCTATTCTTTGATTCTTTTTAGTTTTTCATTAAATTAAAAAATTTATAAAAAATTGGAAAATATATTTTATGTTAAAATATCAATGTTATTGCGTAAATAATTTTTTTATTGAAATTCGACTTATTAAATTATTTTATTTTAAGTTATTTAAGCGAAACTTAAAAATTTATCCTTCTTTTTTTAAAGCCAATAGACAGAATAGAAGAGAATTTTAAGCCTCACTTAAAATTAAAGTATAATGTTGGATCTTAAAGAATTAAATATTCTAGATGTTTAAATTTTCATTATAGTCCTCAACAACATGAATGATATTTCATATTGATTTTTATTATTTGC